TTTATACCTTAACAGTAAACACTGGCTGTTTGCAGGACACCTTACTCCAAAAATTTGGAGGGACATACTCCCCTCTTGGTTAATGGGTTATGATTATAAATCATTTAGTGATTTTAGAATGGGAAGTAGTTTACAAATACTTTAAACATACAAGTTCTTCCATGAAACCAAAAGCCTTTTTGACCTTAAGACTCCCTGTTTAACTGAAAAGTATGTTAACTGAATTAAGTCTATGAAAATTGCATGCAAAAAATTGCATTTAGATAGATTTGTAAGACATTTCATATATATTATCTTAGTAATTTCTACATCAATCCTGTATACTAGGCCATTTTAATTGTTACATCATAACTGTTCCTTGCTTCAGCAGTGCTGTTTTCATAGTTTCTCCAAGGGTTCAAAAAGTGGACTAATCACAAAACCTAGTCATCCTCATTTTGCCCTCACGAAGGGGTGGCTAACACAAAGTGGCTTATAATAACAATACAGTGGGTAGTTTATCTTGTTATCACAGAAAGCAAGTAAAGCAGAGCAGATCATCAGAGGATGTTAAGTTACACTAGTCAAAAAGTCAAATGAAATCATGCAGCTCTTCTCTCACTTTTTGAACAGGCTGACCTCACAGCAGCATGTTACATGCCAACACAAATTAAAAGACTCTCCTTCCTAGCTTGCTGCCATCCATAGAAGCAACCAGCTCACCAGTGACAGACCCCACACTTTTGGGAAGGAGCCTTCATATGGAATGCTTAGGAAATAAGTATACCAAGAAACACCCCCCCCCCCCATGATCATGCAGAACTGTTTAGAAGACTCTGGAGACCAGAGGCCCTCCTTTTCCAGGACATGTCCTACATTTCAGCCTTCTTTCCAGAGGAATTCCAAAATGTTTTTCATTTTGAGCATGACTAAGAAGCATGAATTTATGTTTATAGTAGTTTTTTTAGCTTTCATTTGGCAATGTCCTCCATTTTTCTTGAATGTCCTCCATTTTTGCAGCACCTTGTATTTATATTAGCGATGTTAGCTTTTATTTTGTAATGCCCTCTATTCTTCTCAAATGTTCTATATTATTCAGTGCCATGTCCTCATTTGCAGTTATGACAACTGATCATGCTGCTGGCGACTCTCCTTCAGGTACTCTCTCTGTCTGAGGTGAAGTGAGTAGAAGGCAGACAGGAAAACTTTCTTAGGGCTCATTCCTACTTGCATTTAAATTGCTTTGTGAGTCGCACTGACACCAGGTGGCTGAATAGATTCAGGCCGATGCGTAGTTCCCACTATGGAAGCATATTATT